TGTGAATGCATTAACCCAAGAAGGAAGTCGCCATGATGTTCAAATTGATGCCACAGGTGCATCTACTGAAAATCTCAGATGGGTTCAAGTCTCAGTGACCTCAGTGAATATGGTACTGGTATTACTGCCCAGTCTCTCACCTGTGAACCAGTCACTCTTAATCACCTATTCTCTGCTGCCTCCGTAGGTTCTGCAACCAGACTTCAGGTTGAACTACTGTCAGCTGTGGCAGGCTTTGATTAAGGGCGACATGTCAGGGGTGGAGCGTTACAGCCGCAGACTGGGCGCTGGGGATCTGTACCCCCTCTTTGCCTGTGTCCTGACTGCTCGGTCCTGGAAGGCGGTGAATGCCGGTATTAGTTCTGTACCTGTCACCCGTTCAGAGGTATGAACTTGTACACACTCAAGCTTACTGTTACGTCATCATCTTATCCTCTCAATTTGACCTGAAACCATGACAGACTGCTGTTACTGCTTTATTACTACTGCTGTGAACGTTAATAAGAGTAAATTGTAGTGTAATGGATCATTTTAGGTTTTGGCTTTGACACTGTTGCTGGGTTGATGGTCCATCGGTAATGCCTCAGCGCTCCAGTAGGGGGATTCATGCAAATAAAAAAAGATGCAATGATTTGCAAATGAATTCAACCCAGATTTTATTTGCAGTAGAAAATACATCAAATGTTTAAACTGAGAAAATGTACCACTTAAAAACAAAAAGCAAACAATATGATGAAGACAGCGAGACAAAACACAATGAGGGTACAAATAACTGCAGAAGTTAACACAACTGCTGGGAACACACAGGTCCAAGCAACTGGGAAATGAGACTGGGAAACCAAAACTGAATATTAAACACACAAGACGAGGGCTACCAAAGTCAGAGAGGAAATAACAGAATAGCTAACACAGAGACGAAGTGGAGAACTATGGCTGTAAAAGAAGAGTGTACAGAACCAACAATATCTGTAACTGGGGAATAAGCAAATGGACACTGTGGTCTACTGGGATAGAAGAGAGAAAACTGTACATAACTGAACATAAACAATGAGTCCAAATTATACAAAATGCTTCGTCAGAGATCCAGGACCCTGACAGAAGCAACAAAACCATCCTCTCAAAGATATGTTGTCTTAATATGTGGCCTGTAATCCTGTATGTACTATTCAGCAGGCGTGGTGCCTTTCCAGATGTGTACTACTGAACCTCCATGCCACCAGAGATGCAGTTTTCTGAACTGAATGCTGATAATAAGGTCCATCTCCAGTTTATGGTGGAGGACACATTCATGTTGTTGGTACATGGACTGCTTCGTTTATTTTTAAGTTCTGTTATTTTTATACCTGCTGGGTCAACATTCAGTGAAATTCAGAACAACAACTATCAGGAATTTGTTACAGTCCAATTATTGCTACAAAAAAT